TTGGGGGTTTTGGTTTTTCACAAATATGTCCACTTTTTTAACCACTGCCCAGGTCCGAGGTACAGATCACCTCCAGCTGCCTAGAGGGTCTCTCCTCCTTGCCCCACTTCACCCTGTTCCTGTTCTGGGGTGTTGAGGTTGTGTTTATTTTCTCCTTTTTCTAGAGGCTTGAAAACAAAGCCTACATTTAGGATGAGAGAATTCTTCCTCTCCATTGGCAAAGCTCTGTACCCTACCCAATTAGAAAGTCCTTGTTGTTATGCAGTGTGGAGTCGGAACTGACCCATAGCTCCTGTGGGTTTTTAGAGGCAGTTAATCGCTAGGGGGAGGAGACTGCCAATCCTTTGCCCATGGAGCAGCTGGTGACCAAGAACTGTGAGCCTTTGGGGTTGCAGCACAGCTTCTTACGACTTGGCCACAAAGTCCATAGGAATAGAATAAAAGCGAAGACCTGATTTGCATTTTGCAGGGGGCATCCTGTATATCTTTTGGGGATTCTGCTTACCTTTTCCTCCGCTTTATTTGTAATTCACTGCCTTCAAGTTTGTTCTGACCCTGGACGGGCTTATGGGACAGAGCAGACCTGCCACACAGTTTCCAAGACTAGAATCCCTTAAGAAGGCAGACCACATCATCTGTTTCTCTAGGAGAAGCTGGGAGGGTCAAACACCCCATCTGCCTCTCAGTTGCTAAGCATTTTAACCAGGGTGCCACCAGGGCTCCTTGTTATGAACCTTAGCCTCTCCTGTTGGACTCCCTGAGAGGTACTAACCAAAAGGTTTGAGGGTAGAGACCACCCAGTGGCACCTCAGAGATGGCTGGCAGTCTACCTCAGAGAGTCAGCTGTTGAAAACCCTGTGGAGAACAGTCCTTCAGTGACAGATATGGGGTGGCCATGAATTGCAGTCAATCTGGTAACGTTTTCTTTTTTTAAGCTTGTCTAATCTGTAGGAACTCTGGTGGCCTAGTGGTAAAAAGCTGTACTGCAGTCCCAAAGGCATGCAGTTCTAATCCACCTACTGCTCCACAGGACAAGGATGGGCAGTCTCCTCCTGTTGGATTAGCTGCCTCTGAAAACCCTTCAGAGGGTCAGCTATGGGTCAGTTCCAACAGTATACTACAACAATCTGTATTGCATCTGAGAGCTGGACAGTGACTAAAGATGACAGAAGATAAATTGATGCCTTAGAATTGTGCTGCTGGCAACGAATATTGAACATACGATGGACTGCCAAGAGAACAAGTGAAACCAGGTTGTTCCTTGAAGGCAAGGATTGTAAAGGTCCACCTCACATACTTTGGGCATGTTGCTAGGAGGGACCAGTCCTTGAAGAAGGACATCATGCTTGGAAAGGTCAGCATGGAAGAAGAAGATCTTGGATGACATGAATTAACACTGCTGTGGCAGTGGGGGCAGGTGTGTGATAGACAGTGAGGTTGGTGGGGTTGACTTAGGATTGGACAAAGTTCAGATCCATTGTTCATAGGGTTGCTATGAGGATAGTCAGCTTAATGGCACATAACAACAGCAACAACAGTCTGTATGTTGAATAAATCATTCTAGAAGCTGGACTTTATGAAGAAGAATGTGACATCAGGATAGGAGGAAGACTTATCAGCAATCTATATTATGCAGATACATAGCCTTGCTTGTGGAAAGTGAGGAGGACTCAACATTTGCTGTAGAAGATCAAAGACTTCACAATTGGACTGAATTTCAACATCAAGAAGACAAAAATCCTCACACCACTGGACTGGCAAGCAACATCATGATAGATGGAGAAAAGACTGAAATTGTCATTGAATTAACCTTACTTGGGCCCACAATCAACACTCTTGGTATCAGCAGTCAGGAGATCAGGAGATGTATTGCATTGGTCAGCTCTGCTGTCCGGGACCTCTCCAAACTACTGAGGAGCAATGATGCCAGTTTGAAGACTAAGGTGTATGTTTACAGCCGTTGTCTTTTTAGTCACTTGGCTGTGCATAAGGATGACAGAAAAATTATTGATACCTTTGAGTTGTGGTGTTGGAGAATAGCATGGAATATTCTATGGAATACCAAAAGAACAAAAAGATTTGTCTTAGAAAAAAGTACAGCTAGAGTGCTTCTTAGAGGCAAAAATAATAAAGCTTTGTCTCACATACCTTGGGCATGTTACTAGGAGGGGCTGTTCCTTGGAGAGGGACATTGTGCTTGGAAAGATCAGCAAAAAGAGAGGAAGACAGTCAGTGAGATGAATTGACACAGTGACTGCTACAATGGGCTCAGATGTGTCAGAGATGGTGACTGTGGCACAGGATAGGATAGAGTTCAGATCTGATGTTCATAGAGTCACTGTGAGGTTTACATGATTCAGTGGCACCTATCAACAGCAACATCCCTGTTCCACCTTTTCTGGTGTCCTTGTGAACAGAGGCTGTTCAGAGAATGGCAGGACCAAAAAGCCTTATATTTGGGTTTTGTTAATGGTGTAGATCTGTGTTTTACAGACTGTTCTCTGTCTTTCGGTGGTAAGAAGTTGTGCTGCATCCCCAAAGGCACATAGTTCAAATCCACCAGCTCCTCCATGGGAGAAGGATGGGCAGTCTTCTGTTCAATATACTACCTCTGAAAATCTGCTGGAGGATCAGCTATGGGTCGATTCTGACTCGACAGCACATAACAACAAGGACCTCATGCACTTACTGCAGAGGGTCAAGGACTGCAGCCTTCAGTATGGACTGAGGCTCAATGTCAAGAAGACAAAGATTCTCACCACTGGACCAATTGGTAGCATCAGGATGGATGGCGAAGAGATTGAGATTGTTCACAGCTTCAGTTTGCGCAGCTCCACAGTCAACACTCTTGGCACCAGTAGCCAGGAAATCAAAAAATGTATTGCGATGGGAAAGTCTGCGGTTAGGGACCTCTCTAAAGTACTCAAGAGCAACGGTGTCTCTCTGGAGACTAAGGTCCACTTGATACAGGCCATGGTCTTTGCAATCACTTGTTATGCATCAGAGAGTTGGACAGTGACTAGGGAGGATAGAAGGAGAATTGACGCCTTTGAGCTGTGGTGCTGGAGAAGAGTGTTGAATGTACGATGGACTGCCAAGAAAACAAACAGATTTATCCTAGAGAGGGTTAGACCAGGCTACTCCTTGGAGGCAAGGATTCTGGGGCTTCGCCTGACATACTTTGGACATGTTGTAAGGAGAGACAGGTCATTAGAGAGGGACATCATGCTGAGTAGAGTAGAGGGACAGCGCAGGAGGGGAAGACCCTCTATGAGGTGGATTGATTCAGTGACTGGGGTAATCGGGATGGGTGTGTCAGAGGCAATGCAATTGGCACAGGATAGAGCAGGGTTTAGGGCTGTTGTACACAGGGTCGCTATGAGTCGCAAACGACTCAACAGCACACAACAACAACAACAACAACATTGTGATCTATAGACTGCCAAAAGAACAAACACGCATGGGGGGGGGTACAGCAGAGTGCTCTTGGGAGGCTAAAAGAGTGAAGCTTCCTTCTTCTCACATACTTTGGCCATGTTGCTAAGAGAGGCTATTGAAGGACATCATGCTTTGAAAGGGCAGAGAACAGTGAAGGAGACGAAGACCCTCAACCAGGTGGATTGGCACAGTGAATGCCGTAGTGGGCTCAGAAGTATCCAAAACTGTGAGGATAGCACAAGACAGGACAGGGTTCAGATCTATTGTTCATAAAGTCACTATGAGTAATACACAACTTAATGACACCTAACAACAACAACAATAACAACAACAACAACCATCATGATCCAGTGGTGGGAACTTGACAAGTAGTTTTTCTAAGTAGTTGTGTGAATTTAACCTCCCATTAGAAGTAGAGGGGAGTTGCTGTTGCTCCATATCTTTGTCAGCACTTGGTGTTGCTCAACTTAGTTTAAGCCAACCTAGTGGGAAAACTGGTGCTCTGGGGGCCTAGCGGTAAGAAGCTGTGCTACCATCCCAAAATCATCCGGTTTGAATCCACAGGGTACTCCACAAGAAAAGCATAGGCAGTTGCCTCGCTTGTGAATCACTGCCTCTGAAAACCCACTGATGCTATAGGTAGGTATCAACTTTATGGTATAGAATATCTGAAGAAGAATTGATACATTTGAACTTTGGTCTTTGTGAAAGATACTGAGCATACCATGCACTGCCAGAAGAATCTCGTTAGAAGCAAGGATGGTGAGACTTCTTCTCACGTACTTTTGACGTGAAGGGCTAGTCCCTGATCAGGACACCATGCTTGATAGAATGTCAGCAATAAGAGGAAGACCCTCAGTCAGCTGCACTCAGTGGTTGCAACAGTGGGTTCAAATATAAGCATGATTGCAAGGATGGCACAGGACTGGGCCGTGCTTTTATTTTTTTTTTTTTAACTGAGAGTCTCTGTGATTTGGAATCAACTTGACAGTCCCTAACAACAGCAACAACATAACAGTAGGCTGCTGCTCACTAAAATGTTGGCAGTCTGAAGCAGCCAGCAGGCTCCACAGGAGAAAGCCCTGGCCATAGCCCTCTGGAAAGATTACAGCGTGGAAGCCCCACTGGGGCAGTTCTGCTCTCTTACACAGCGGCTCGGTGAGCCCAGAGTTGACACCTCACTACAATAGTTGATTTTTGCATTCTACCAATTGACTCACGATCGAACATCTTTGTCTAGAAACCATTTGTACATCTTTCTAGTGGCATGTTCCTGCTTAGGTTGGTTTAGATTATTTGTGGGGGGTTTTTTGGTGAGTAAGGAGAGGGGTAATTTTTCTATGACTTTTCCCATTGATTCACAGGCATTTTGTTTTATTGGGTTTTGTTTGGGGTTTTGGGGGGAAAACATGTTTTGTTTGCTAAGCCTTTGTCACAGTTCTATGCGTTCAAATTCATATGCTTCCTTTCTCATTCTGAAAATCTAATCCTTAAGAGTTCCCTAGATGCACTTGGCAATTGCACAGTATTGGCTCAGGCTCTGTTCTAGGCACTGTGGTGACATGGCCGAGCCCTGGCACCATGGAGTGAGGCGCACCAGAGTGCCCGCTGCTGACCCGTGCTGCTTGTCTTTGCAGGTGGAGCAGGAGGATTTTGTAATGGAAGGGCATGGCAAGACTCCACCTCCTGGCGAAGAAGGCAAACAGTGAGTCACAGTTTATTTTAAGAGGGTTCTAGCCGAGATTGTCTGCAGAACTTTGGTTCAGCATGCTGAGAGCCTGTTTGCTTGGGGTGTATCTGTGGGGGATGTTGAGGGGTCACCAGTTGCTTTAGTGCTACTTCCACTTGAAACCCGCTAACTAGAGGGGAAAGAAAGTTGTCTTTGTAGTTTTTCCACTCATGACTAATCACAACTTTTGTTACACTTTAGCAAAAGCTTTAAGGGTCAGGATGTTACAAATGAAAGTGGTTGGGTTAAAAAAACAAACAAACCCAAAAACCCCCACCAAAGTAGAAAATGGTACATCCCTTTCTTGGCAATGCCCTTATAAAATGAACTAAATTAATAGACTGGTCCTCCACATTCCAAGTGTGAATTTATTTGAGTAGTACTTCCTGAAATTCTATTCCATCTCGTTATTTATACTTCACATCTTTGTCTAAATAACAAATTGTTTCCTAAAAGGAATGAGAATTATAAATAATATAACTTATCCAATATTTTAAATAATTCAGAATCTCTCCTCTGGCTTCTTAAAAGGTGCTTGGTTTTAAAAACTGAAATTGGGAGTTGACTGAGCTTCAGATGGCAGTGAGTGGACATTTTCCATCCTCTGTCACAGGATTTGAAAAATTGTGTTACAAAGCAGACTGGTTTTTCATATGTCCTTTTAAAGGAAAAACGGTTAAGACTGATTTGAAGTACTGACACACTGACTTTTTAAAAAATTTCCCAGTATTCTCTTAGGTTGAAAGGAACAGTGATTCATGGAATTTACTGAAAATCTGAAGAGAGGAACTCCTATCCCTTGTTACTCTCTTTCTCTGTGTCTCTGTCTCTCTCTCTTTTTTTCCATTCTAAGAAGTAGTCTAGTTTTGGTCTTTCTTATGAAAATTAAGTCTCCAAATCCCTTTAGAATGCATTATGCAGAAAAGTGTATGCCTCCATGAAGCCGTATTCACGAAAGGAGAATGGTGTGTCTTGTATTTGTTGTGAATGGAAACTAGGATATTTTCACAGCTGGCTTAATTTGCTAACCAGGCAGTTTTAAAAATAGCTTACAATATAAATCCTCGCTTTGCTGGATCCTGTCAGACGCACTTATATTCTGCATGGTCTGACAAAATCAATTCATTTTCAACAAATTAGAATGCCAAACATCTAGTCCCAGAGGAATTATAGGATAAGTACTTCAGGTACTTCAGCCTGCCCACTCTCCTTTGTCTACACTAGCCCTGACTCTGGCCAAGATCTTGTAAGATCATAATCATAACTCTCATTTGTCAGGGGTCTTTTGTGCTGAAGATGCTTCACTAAGATGCTTGGTATGACGTTTCCACTTGTGGCATGGATTGTTGCCACACATGGATCAAGTTAGGTACCTTGTCCATGATACTGCTACTTGAAATCGTCATCGAGATTTTAACCTGTACCTTTGTGATGTTAAAAATTTTCTTATGTACTGGCTTAAAGCCAGAACCTCTTGCCAACCTTGGATCTTCACCAGCCTTGAGAGTTACACTCCTGAAAAGTATTGTAGTTGACAAAACTGTGATTGTCAAAATCAAAATCTCACAGGATAAGAGTGACTTGGGAAGAGCAGAACATTGAAAATGGCATTGAACCTCAGTTGGTTTTTTTTAACCTACTAATTCTTTTTTAATTTTATACTAGCTTATTTACAAAATTAGAATACCTTGCCTTTGAGAACAGATTCTTTCCATTTTCCTCACACACTGTGCACCCCCCCGCCCACCAAATTGTACAATCACATGATTAATCCTAGAACCTCTTTTTAAAACGTGGATGCAAACAGAGGGCATCAACTTCCCCAGCAAGCCAGTGTCTGCCTTGGAAACCCAGCTCCAGTGGGTGACCTTAGGTCTGCTTCCTAGGTGTTCCAGAGACATTACTGGGCCAGTTCCCTCACAGGTCTTGTTATTATGCCAACTCTTTGGTTATAGAGTTTCACACAGGCCCAGAGGATGTGGTATGTTTTGTGTTGCAGCCTTAGTGTTCTCCCCTGTTTTGTGTCCCATGTCTCAACTGCCACACCTTTCCATGGATTGATTCCAGGGTGGTTTTTTCCTGGGCCTGACCAGCTCTGGTATCATATGAAGAATGAATAGTGCAGACGTGTCTCTTTCACTAAGTACTGACTATTCCAAGAGACTCTTCAGTTCTTCTGTATAAGGTTGGGATGAAAGTGCTGTGCTCTCTTATTTGAGACAATAGCAGTTAAAAATTAAAGAATGTTTTCCTTAAGTCACAGGCTTGCAGTTGGTGAAGGATTATTACTGAACTTTCCAACCTTCATTGCATCCTAGATAGCAGAATCTGGAAACAGATTACTGGATGCTAGGATCCTGCAAATAATAACTTTGCTGAATGGTTTTTGAAGTTACTGCTCTTTCTTTGATTTTTCAGTCCATATATAAAACATGCAGGTGGTAAATATAGATATCAAAATGAGACTTTTTTAAACTTCTTCTCCTAATTATCCTAAATGTTTTCTGTATGTTTGAAAACAACTAGGGGGAAAGATATTTCCCCCCAGTGTAATTCTTTTTTTTTCTATAATTATATTTTATTAATTTTCATAAACATTTACAGAGATTTTGGGTTTCCATTCATTCATTGTTCCACTATTCTCTCTACCCTCCTCCCAGTTTGTTCTTGTCCAAATGCCACAGTGCTTGTCAAAGCCAGTTCTGATTAATCTTCTTTGTCAGTGTGTCCTTTGCCATTCCCTATCACTCCTCCCTGAGAGAGACTTCACCCTGAGTCATAAGGAAAAGGGGATGGCGTATTCTCTTAGCTACTTCCTGCTGAAAAGGGACGCTGTGGGTTTCAGGGTGAAGATCTTCTCTCACTACTCTAAAGGGCCCCTTTGGCAGTAGGAAACACATAGACTATTATGGAGATTGATTTTGGAATTTAGATGCACTCTTATTGATTGTGCTTGGCCGTACATGTTCATATCCTTGAAGATGTATCATGGGGGTGTTGCAACCTAGAAGACACAAATTTGACTAACAAGTTATAAGAACATGAGTCCAAAAATTATGGAAAAGGAAAAGAAAAGATTCTTTCATTGTTTTACAAACCCTCCCCCAGGTCCCCTCCACCATGTAGCCCTCGCTCTAGTCTCCTGTGATGACAGAAATACCTAGTTATATATCTCTTTTAAACAGTTTTCTAAGACTTGTTTTATTTAATTGGACAACTTTTGCAATCTCTGCCATTCTTTCAGACATCTGTAAGACATTCTGTTGAATAGATGTACTATAATTTAATCATTCTTCTCTAGCAGATAGTTTGATGGTTTTCATTATTACAAATAATAACTTTTGAACATCCTTATTTTTATACTTTTTTTGCATAGATGCTTTTTCTGTAAAACAGATTTCCAGATATGGAGCTGTTTGGTTAAACGCAAACTCACTGCTGTCAGATTGATTCCAACTCTTGACAACCATTCTTTGAGTTTCTAAGACTGTAAATCTCAATGGGAGGAGATTGCACAGCTTTTGGCTGTGGAACAGCTAGTGGATTCGAACCACTGACCTTTCGGTTAGCAGCGCAGCATGCTGTGCACTATACCATCAAGCTCCTTGTTGGTCTCAAGGGCATTTTACACTGCTATATTCTTGCCTTCCAAAGAAGCAAAGCCAGCTAGTGTTTACCCCATCAATGCTGTAAGTACAAGCCCGTTTCTCCACCCTCGTGGTGGCACCGAGATATTTAAAACCATTGTTTTCAGGAGCACTTTTTTACTTACTGATGAGATGGAGTATGTTTTGTTCATTTATTGGCCTTTTGCTTTCAGATGTTATTTATCACCTTTTTATGCTGTTCCCATGTTTGTATTAGCTTGCTTCTTTTAATAGTTTTATAAGATCTCTTAGAAATTGTAGATACTGAAATTTTTAAAGTATTTTCTCCGAGGCCTTATTTTTTAACATTGTAGTATCATACAATCTGGTAGACCTCCCAGTCATGTATGTAGTCTATGAGTCATTAATTGGTTTGCATATTTGTTCCTGCTAAGAAGGGCTTCCTGACTCTTACTATAATGATATAGCCTTGGTTTTTCTTCTATCTTTAAGTTTTGTTTAAACTGCTGCTTATTTTTCACTATAGTGGGAGACAGCAATCTGGCTTTTTTTTTTCTTCTTGTAAATGGATTTCCAGAATGACTCTCATTCATTGATGATATTCTGTACAAATAGCTTTTATCACTTAGGGAGGCATTTGGAGAACACTGGGGTGATGTAACTCGCCCAAGGACTAGAGCAAATTCTTAGAAAGATTAGGACTCAAATTGTTTTTGTTAGTGTACCTGTGCCACATTTTTTGTTGTTGTATTTGACTGTGTAGATCATAACAAACTGTGGCTGACTCTGAGAAGAATGGGAATCCCAGAACACTTGTTCGTTCTAATGCAAAACTTATACTTGGACCAGGAGGCAGTCGTCAGAACAGAGCAAGGGAACACTGCATGGTTCAAAATTGGGAAGGGTGTACGCCAGGGATGCGTCCTATCTCCATACCTTTTCAACCTATATGCAGAACAGATTATCCGGGAGGCTGGGCTCTATGAGGAGAAATGTGGGGTCAAGATTGGTGGACAGTTTATCAACAATCTGCGTTATGCGGATGACACAACCCTGCTTGCTGAAACTGAGGAGGACCTGAAGCGCCTGCTGCAGAGTGTCAAGGACTGCAACCTACAATATGGATTGAGGCTCAATGTCAAGAAGACAAAGATTCTCACCACTGGATCAATTGGCAGCATCAGGATGGATGGTGAAGAGATTGAGATTGTACACAGCTTTAGTTTGCTTGGCTCCGTAGTGAACAGTCTTGGCACCAGCAGCCAGGAAATGAAAAGGCGCATTGCCATGGGAAAGTCTGCTGTTAGGGACCTCTCCAAAGTGCTGAAGAGCAATGGTATCTCTTTGGAGACTAAGGTGCGTCTGATA